AGCCCGTGGGTGCAGGGTAGTAAAGGGAAAGGAAAAGGCAAAGTTAATGATGTCGATTTGTGGCTCGAGTACCCACCGCTGTCGAGGGGACAACTGCCGAACCAGCGTGATCTCTACGCGGGAGCGGCAGGGTGGTGGGGAAACCGCCGAGTGCGGCCCATGGTTGTGTGCAGCGCCTGCGGCAAAAAGCTCTTCCAGGATCGCCTTCAATCGAAGAATTGGACATGCGAGCGCGGTTGCAAATTCAGTGAAGATGATCGTGCTCGTCATCTTTCTGGTCAGCGCGATGGGGGCCAGCAGTCAGCTCCCAAGGACTCGCCAAAAACTCAGTGTCGGAAGTTGGCTTCCTTCTTGCCTGTCAAGGTCCAGGGCGCGGCTCAGGGGCTCCGGCAGGCTCTTGACGAGCCAGCTCCCAAGCCCCCTCTCCAACCAGGGCAGGGACTGCAGCAAGCGTCGGCTCGAGCCCATCGCGCCACGAAGCAGCTTGAGAAAGTCAAGGCTGCGTGGGTCCGTCACAAGCGCGACCTTGAGAAGGCTGAAACAGGATCGACGAGAGGCCATTGAGGAGGTGCAGCGTGCGGACACGGAGGAGACTGCAGCGGCCAAGCAGGTTTTGCCCCTCACACAGCTCTGCCAGTCAAGAAAGCAGCCTCCGTTGATGTACAGCAAGTCTTGGACGGTAAGTTCGAATTGAAGATCAATTTCGGATCGAAGTTGGGAGGGCTTGATGTGTTGGGCGAGGATCGCCAGCTGCTCGACGGGGCCAAGCATGTATTGCAGAAGGCTCTTTCGGAGGCGGTTCATGCGTCATGCGGAGCCCTGCAGGCGAAAACCGAGCAGCACCGAGCGCAGCTCGCGGCCATTGTCGAGAGGGCGAAGAAGAGGAAGGTGCCAGAGGCTCCACTCCCCGCGGGTGGTGGTGGTGGTGGTGGTGGTGGTGGTGGTGGCAGCTGGCTCATGAGGTGGGGCACCAGCAGCGGAGGCAGCCCAAGTCCCTGACCCAGGTGATGGCCAGAGGTCGACCCCTTTTACCTGCAGCTGCAGGGGAAGGCAGCAGCCTGGGCTCCCAGCAGGCCCGCCTCGAGGGTGAGGTGGAAGGCGTGGTGGGAGGCAATCGAGCCAACAAGGGTCAGGGAGGAGGGTCGGGCCTTTGATGTTGTGGCCCGAAACATGAAGAGCATGTACATGAGAGGTCTCTCTGCATGGGGCTTCCCAGCGAAGGGTCTTTGAAAAGGGGGGAGAACACGATATCTGTATATTTCCTGAACTGCGTCTTCTGCCAGAAGAATGCCACGCAATCCTGCGCGAATGGGGTAGATCGGGCAATCAGGCGCTAGTTGCGCCGTCGTGCCCAACGAGTGGTGTGAAGAGAGCTGGAGGCAGGAATCGCTACCAGTTCCAGTCGTTCAGGCACTTAACGAACAAGCCTGCTCAGCAGATGGAGCTCATGATGATTGACGAGCCAGATGACACCAAGCAGAGCAGAAGGACCTGGACATCAAGGACCTGGTTGCGTTCCAGCTGTAGATTGGAGGCCAGTCGATCACCATCCTGGGGTTGTATCTCGCAGAGGGCATAGGCTTGACAGGCGCGAGCGTTGACGAGCGAATACAGGGGGGGCAGCTGATCCAGAGCATCCGCGCACCTTTGTTGGCTACCAGGGACTTCAACGCGGAACCGCACGAGTTGGCGAATGTTGGCTGGACCAAGCTGGTGCGCGGCATCATCGGAAGGGCAGATGGGTCAGATTGCACTTGTACCATGAGCAAGAATATATTGATTGGTTATACGGTGCTGTCGCCATCCATGATCAGATGCGTTGAATCTTTCGCTGTGGACGGCGCGGCTTGCCATGGTGGGTGCAAAGCGCACTGCGTTCTACATCTATTTGAAGCTGAAGTTGGAGCAAGCATCCAGATGAGTATTTCCATTGGCAGAGAGATTCGCCTTCCCTCCCATGCCCAAGACGCAGGAGAATCCCACGAGCGCTCGCACTCGTAAGTTAAGATTGCAGAAGATGGAGCAGACTGAACAGGTCGCGCCACCAGCGGCGACAGCGCCGTTGAAGAAGCGTCAAGTGATTGGATTCAAGCCGCCACCTCCGGTCTGTTATCTCACCAACGACGACTAGGGCGTAGAGGAGATGGAGGAGGAGGCAGACGACTCGTGGACCCGGGGCGCTGGGGGCGTTAGATCGCAAGTCCCTGCCCCCAGGTGCGCCCGGGAGGTGCGCGGCGGGAGGGGCAGGGCAGAGCCGCCGCAGGTTGGCGCAAGTCCTTGCCCCCAGGTGCACCCGGAGGTTTGCGGCGAGAGGAGCAGGGCACAGTCGCCATGTCTTGCCGCAGCTGGGGCTGCCGATGCTGGTGCAGTAGTGGACTTGTCTTCCGCGGTGTCCGCGGGCCCCCCTGGCGCCGTGGACCCGTCGGGCCGCTGCGGGCGCGAGGGGCGGGGGGCGCGCCGTTGCTGGAGGGGTGGCGTGGGCGGGGCTGCAATCGATTGG